GGAGTAGTAGAAAGTCAAAAACTTCCTTTCCCAAAAATCAATCACTCCTAAAGATATAATTTTTACATATATGATAGGTGGCACAGTGGTCTCCTCAAAATGCGTTCTGGTTTACCACTGTGTCCGAGACTATTTCGGACTGTTTTAGATTTTTTGCTTGTACGCATCATGTCTGGCGCAGTTTCCAAACAGTTTCGGATGTTAGAACTACAAAATGTGTACTGTTTGAACATTTCGGTGTCAGTAAATGTTGTACAAGTTGAGAGAGAGAGAGAGAAAGAGAGAGATATAGGTTTGTTCTGGTTCTAATATCAAAAACTGTTTAGAAACTGCGCAAGACATGATGCGTACAAGTAAAAAATCTCAAACAGTCCGAAATAGTCTCGGACATTTGGTTAAACCAGAACGCATTTTGAGGAGACCACTGTGCCACCTATCGCATATATGAAGAGATGAAGACGAGAAAATGCTGTTGTTCATGTCCATTTTGTTATGTCTGTAGCGTATCCTTGTAGTCCAAATGTTATCTAACCTCAATCATCAATTATTTAAATCAAATAAATGAAAAAAACATACTGGAAAATAGCCCAAACAAATTTCCACCTGAACGCGCATGAGCAACGGGAAGAGCTCCCAACAGTTCAGTCTCGAGAGCAAGAACAATTCGGGACGGTTCAAGACAGTTTAGAATCGTTTCGCAGTCGAAACCAGAACGCTCTATATCAACTGCGCATGATCCTAACGTCCTAGAACCTGAATTTCGTAGAACCAGAACCAACCTTAAAAGTTAGTGAAGATAGAAAGGGAGAGAGAGTAAAGTTTCTGATATTACTGTAAAGGCAAGAGAAAGAGATGCGAGTACACATTTACGGTCAAGAAGGCTCTCAAGAATTAAAAGAAAACTATCACACGTTGCCACTAATTTTAACAGATTTCAGTATTAATTTTGCATCCTTGGTAAACTAAATTGGAACTACAAATAATAAGGAAGAAATTCCAAAAATCCACGACCATCAAACCCGAAAAAAAAGTGACACTGAAAACCTCGGCGTGACAACAAAATGCCGAAGTGTCACCTGTCAACTGTTTCAATGGTCACCGATTTATTCCAAAAAGTACACCAATACCGAGAGGTGAATATTTTGTCAGTACCTTTGATGTTGGTTGTATAAATATTCAGAGGAAATACGTCACAGCACTGACAGAGATACTAATTGATACACTGAGAAAAATAGCACAGGTAGTGATTAAAATGTGTACACTAAGAAATACACTAAGAAAAATAATATTGTATATTGATATACGTTTACATTATGATACTTAATATATTTGTGATGAACTAAATTGTTGAGAGGCCGTGGGAGCACGTAACTAACATATTATTTGTCAACGATATTTTCATCTCTGTTCTTTCTTTACTCTCTTTAGCCAAATTAATCAAAGACGCATGTCACTGCTGGCGGGTAGTGGAAGTAAGCACTCGAAATAAGTTCGACGAGAATAAAGTATAGCATTTCTTATTGAATGCCTGTTCATCACTTGGGAACGCTGCGCTGGTGAAGTCAAAGACAGTGGTTCAAATACAACCGATTATTATGTTCTCATTCGTTTCTCAATGGCAGGGCCAGAGATCGCAGTGGCGGTGTGCGTTAAAAATTGAAAATACGAAAATGATGTGCAAATTTTCAGTCTAACTTAAGGTTTCTCTTGTTTGCAGTTGAGTTTGTGATTCCAAAGAATGTAGCTTTGTGAGAAAAGATTAAATAACGTACAGTAGAATCTCACTAATCCGGCACTATTAAAAACTTGAGGGTGCCGGATTATTGGAATGTTCGAATTACTGGATTATAGAGAAAAACATATTAGATCTTGTTTTGGTTTACTTGATATTTTCAACTACACCTTATTCTAACTTCAAAACAACTGGTAAATACGTTCGCACGTGAACGTGATAAGTTTTGAGGTTAGACTGCTAGACAACGACGTGGCGACGGAGCGCATAGGCGTAGAAGAGTGACGAAGGTGCTGGTAGAGGGTGCCGGATTATTGGACGTATCCGTCTATTGCAGTGCCGGATTAGTGAGATTCTACTGTACATTATAAACACAAAAGCAAAAATAGCTAAATAGGTATATTTGAATTACACACATTATGACGGAAAAATTTTGGCTTTCTACCTTTCCATCTTTATACAAAAAAATTTAGGAATCTTCCAAATGAAGAAAGAAATCAAATAATTTCGAAATAAACTCTTCACAAGAGGTGCAGATCATGCAGAGAAGTACTTTAAGGCACAAACTGGAAGAAAAATCTTCTCAAAACAACTGATAGCTGTACGTTTGTCAATCAGAAATGTGTTCTTTCAATAATAAAGTATAAATTGTTTGAATTACTAATTGTTTCAAGTCTGACCGGTTCTTTGCTTGCTAGAAAATGACAATATCATCATGAAAAATGAGAAGAAAAAAAACAATGTTTTTTTACCAATTGTATTTGTAACTAACGTTACTGCCGTTTAGTCTTATAATAACATTTTCAAACGAATACTGTATTCGTTTGAATAAGTTCTCTTAGGACGAAACTGCAGTAACGTTAGTTACAAATTCAAGTGGTTAGGTTTGGTCAAAAGTGAATGGGTCTATTCGACCCTACACCGCAACCCGCAAGAGTTTATTGTGGCTCAAACAAATTTATCTCTCTTAAAAATATAATACTTTCAATGAAATCTGTTTATGTGTGCAATTCAAGTATAATCATTTAGTTATATTTGTTTTTGTGTTTATAATGTTAAAAACCATGTAGAAAGTATTATCTCTCATTTTTCAATTACATATACACTGTGTCCGTAAAGTATGGAACGAATTCATTTTTAGCTAAACAGGTCATTTTAAGAAATAATCCTGAAACACGTCGATTTTTGATGTTAATTTACCGCTACCACTCCNAAGTCTTTTACGAGTAGTAATTTGAAAAGACATGAAAAAATTCATACTGGAAAAAAATCATTTCAGTGTAAAGTCTGCTCGAAGTCATTTCTTCATAGTACTGATTTGAAAATACATGAAAGAATCCATACTGGTGAAAAGCCATTTCAATGTAAAACCTGCTTGAAGTCATTCAATCAAAGTGGTAGTTTGAAAAGACATGAAAGAACTCATACTGGAATTAAATCATTTCAGTGTAAAATCTGCTTGAAGTCATTTAGTCACAGTAGTAATTTGAAAACTCATGAAAAATAGTACTGATTTGAAAATACATGAAAGAATCCATACTGGTGAAAAGCCATTTCAATGTAAAATCTGCTTGAAGTCATTTAGTCACAGTAGTAATTTGAAAACTCATGAAAAAACACATTCATAATGCTTTTTCATGCAGAATGTATACTGAGAAAAAACTATTTCAGTGTAAAATCTACTTGAAGTCTTCGAAAACTGAGTACGGTTTACAATTATTCAATAGTAAGTACAGTAGAATCTCACTGATCAGGCACTATTGAAAACCTGAGGGTGCCGGATTATTGGAATGTTCGGATTACTGGATTATAGAGAAAAACATATTAGATCTTATGTTTCAGTTTACTTGATATTTTCAACTACACCTTATTCTCACTTCAAAACAACTGGTAAATACGTACGCACGTGAACGTATTAACTTTTGAGGTTAGACTGCTAGACGACGACGTGGCGACGGAGCGCATAGGCGTAGAAGAGTGACGAAGGTGCTGGTAGAGGGCGCCGGATTATTGGACGTATCCGTCTATTGCAGTGCCAGATTAGTGAGATTCTACTGTACATTATAAACAAAAGCAAATATAACTAAATAGGTATATTGGAATTACACACATTAATTCATATAACAGTTGGGTTGAAATGTTCGTAGGCTAACATAGAAAAAAAATTGATAAAATTTGATTTCATTATTCAATATAGTTGCCTTCGAGGGCGACATTAAGATTGAAGTCTGAGAACAAGAACGAGTTGCTGTGGGCCAGATCTGAAGAATACGATTGATGCTGAAGCAATTCGAAACCTAATTCATGCAATTTTGCCACAACTTTCATTGATTCGTGACATGGTGCATTGTCTTGATGAAACAGCACTCTCTTTTTCTTCAAACGGAGCCGATTTTCCACTATTTCGTCATTCAAACGCTCCAATAAGCTATATATAATAGTCGCTGCTGATAGTTTTTTCTCTATTTAAGATAGCAATGAATGTAATATCATGCGCATCCCTAAATACTGATGCCATAATCATTTCAGCCAACTGTTGCGTCTTTGCACACTTTGGAGTCGGTTCACCATGTGCAATCCACTGAGATGAAGATCGTTTTTCGGGGTTTTCAGGTGTAAGAGCTTCGAGCACTGCTCAGAATAATCATCTCATTGTTGTTTTTGGTCGATTGTCAGCTCGCGCGGCACCTACTTTGAACAGAGCTTTCACATACCCAAATATTCATGCACGATATGTCCCAACACGTTTCTTTGATTTCTTCTGAGCTGCCTCACCTATTTCAATCAACTTCACTTTTTGAGTTCATCAAAAATAATTATTTTATGTACTTTTCTGATGTTTTCGTCGGTAACAGCTTCTCCGGGTCGTGCACTGTGTGCATCGTCCTCGGTGCTCATTTCACCTCGTTTAAACTTACCGTTGGTTTTTCTGGTGTAAAGTCCGAATAATGTTTATCAAGCGAAGCCTTGGCTTCAACAGTATTTTTTTTCGCCACATAGCAATGCTCTATTAACCCACGAAAATCCATGTCATCCATTTTCTTCAAACTAACAAAAATTACTTCACTCAACATGTTCTATCCCACAAAGATAATTATTAGTAGGTATATTATTTAGCGAGAGAGAAATGTCGTCATTATTCGTTAAGATGGCTACACACACACCTGCAAGCTTGTCCAGTATGCTTGTTCAATCATTTTGTACAAGCACGCGTGAATGTCTGTAGGGAAATGTGGTGCAAGTTTTGTACAAGCAGCTTGAGGATTGGTTTGATTTTAATTATGGATTCTTGAATTAGACGCGCTTGCACAAGCAAAACGGTACGTGTGTACCCAAGACTTTCAAGTTTGCACAAGTTGGCGTAGGCGTCCATTGTGTTGTGTGACTGGTATCGTGACTGGTTGTATGTAGGTAGTAGTTGAGTTTTCGTCATGAGTAGTGATCTCAAAAAGGCTAATCGTGAATGACTGGAAGATTTTATTTGAGAATACCAAAATCATTCATGTCTTTGGCACGTTAAATCCAAAGATTATCATAACAAAGCAAAGAGAGATGCAGCATACAATATATTAGTAGAAAAATATAAGTTAATTGATGCTAATGCTGATAAGAATACAGTTGTTAAAAAGATAAACTCCTTCCGCACTAATTATAGAAGAGAAAAGAAAAAAGTTGAAGATGCGGATCACTCTGGAATGGGTACAGATGAACGTTATGAGCCTACACCTTGGTACTACCACCTGTTTCACTTTATACGAAATCAAGAAACACCTAGAAAATCAGTATCTAACTTGAATGAGACAGAGGTGACTTTTTTTTATAAATATAAGTAGTAAGTCTATATCTTATAGTAGATTTTATATATTTGCTAAATATTATTTTCAGGAAGAAATTGAAGCCCAATCAGATGAAAATTCTCAAGAAAATTTAGATCTACCGATTCAGGATGATGAGTCAACTACACATGATACTGATAGTCAAACAAATGAGGCCACACAATCTACCCCAAGAAAAAGCACCATATCCCGACCGCCTAAACGCAAAAATGACAAATGTGATACTGTGTTAGAAGCAATTGAATCTCATTTTTAAAAACCTAAGATAAAAGGAGATAGATATTATGATATTTTTGGGAAAAACTTCGCTCTGAAAATGAGAGACGTGACAAATAATCGTCAGAGATTGTTAGCAGAAAAAATAATTAACGACACATTATTCATGGCAGAAATGGGTCAGTTGACTCCGTCCCATGGTATTCGTGGTGAAACTAACAATACATTTACAGATTGTTCTCCAACTCAACATTTCAATACTAATTACTCCAATTTCCCTTCAACCTTCCCTCAATCTCATGTACATTATGAAACCCTTTCTCCAGTAACCACCAATGACAATTACAATCAGTCTATCACGTCCTATATTTCAAATTGTAGTGATGTCTAATGTTATTTTGTAACAGTTTATTATATACAACATGTACCTACTTTTTGTATGTCTCTTCGTTGAAATATCAATAAATAACTGAGTTAAAATAATTCTATTACTCACCTTCAAATACCTGCTTCTTAGCACCTTGTAAATGACATGGCATGTTTCAGGAACTATATAACTTAATGCTTGCGGTGAAATAATAGTTGAATACTTCAGGTCTTCATAACTCCTTCCAGTCGCAATAAATCGCAATGTTGCTGTCAATCTTTCATGTAGTGTTATGGCTTCTCTCATAGTCGTATCCTGCTTTTTAATCAAAGGTGATACTAGAGACAACAGGTTTAAATATGTTTCTTCATCAATTCTAAGATAATTGTGCCAGTCACGCGGATATATTTTCAGCTCACTTAGTAAGTTAATGTGAGAATAGGTTTTCCTTTTCATCAACCATTCTTTGCACCACACCCCACGCTTCTTTATTCGTGATTTTCTTTTCTTCACAACACTACTTCTATTTTGATCAAGCATATGCTTATATGTGTGGTGCCAAAGGCAAATTGTGCATACTTGTACAAAATGATTGAACAAGCATGCTGGACAAGCTTGCAGTTGTGTGTGTAGCCACCTTTAGAGTAAAGTTTGTCGAGTCAAGCTGAAGGCGAACGCCACAGTGAAGTGAGAATGAGACGTGTTATTGCAAAACTCATTGTATCCGTTTTAAAAAAAAAATGAGAATCAATGGAATTAATGAAGACTAAAGGATATTGACTCAAAAGGATATAATGATTTTTGCATTGACACGCATCGAAAAATATATATTCACATAATATTAGGTTGTTTCAAAATTTCATGTCTTAATTTAAGTAATTTGTATGCTCTCAATATAAGTATTTAAAAAACAACTTTTAGTTTGAATAAACATCAACCTAAGTCAAATATTTCATCTTACGCGGTGAATACCGAGTACAGTAGACAACCCCAGTTATCCAAATCAATTGGAACCGACGTTAGTCCGGTTAATCAAATATTAGAATAATTAAATTTGGCCAATAGAAAATGCATATTAAAAAAACGTCGAAAAAGTTTGAGTGACTAAAAAATTATTAATATAGTATTTTTTAATCATATATTATTTCACGAGAGAGAAATGGCGCCATCACTTGTTAGAATAATAGAATAGAATTTTATTGTTTCATTCAAATACATAGATATAATAAATGANCAATAAAATTCTATTCTATTCTATTATTCTAACAAGTAATGGCGCCATTTCTCTCTCGTTAAATAAAATACGATTAAATACTAAATTAGTAATTTTTTTAGTCACTCAAACTTTATCGACGTTTTTTTTAATAGACCTTTTCTATTGGCCAAATTTAATTATTCTAATATTTGATTATCCAGACTAACGTCGGTTCCAATTGATTTGGATAATTGGGGTTGTCTACTGTATTCCATATTCACCGCGTAAGATGAAATATTTGACTTAGGTTGATGTTTATTCAAACTAAAAGTTGTTTTTCAAATACTTATATTGAGAGCATACAAATGACTTAAATTAAGACATGAAATTTTGAAACAACCTAATATTATGTGAATATGTATTTTTCGATGCGTGTCAATGCAAAAATCATTATATCTTTTTGAGTCAATATCCTTTAGTCTTCATTAATTCCATTGATTCTCAATTTTTTTAAAATGGATACAGAGTTTTGCAATAACACGTCTCATTTTCACTTCACTGTAGCGTTCGCCTTCAGCTTGACTCGACAAACTTTACTCTAACGAATAATTTCTCTCTCTTCAAATAATATACCCACTATTAATTACTATATTAGTCATTATTTTAGTCACTCAAACCTTTTTGTGGTTTTTGCCTTTTCCAAAATTTTTCCTTCATAATGTGTTTAATTCAAATATACCTATTTAGTTATATTTGCTTTTGTTTATAATGTACAGTAGAATCTCACTAATCCGGCACTGCAATAGACGGATACGTCCAATAATCCGGCACCCTCTACCAGCACCTTCGTCACTCTTCTACGCCTATGCGCTCCGTCGCCACGTCGTCGTCTAGCAGTCTAACCTCAAAACTTCACGTGCGTACGTATTTGTCAGTTGTTTTGAAGTGAGAATAAGGTGTAGTTGAAAATATCAAGTAAACCGAAACATAAGATCTAATATGTTTTTCTCTATAATCCAGTAATCCGTATTTTCCAACTAACTAACGCTCTAGGTATTCCAATAATTTACTTTTAAACCCTCTTACAGTATTTTCCTCTTTAACGGCATTTGGTAAATTGTTAAATTCCCGTAGTCCCTTGTAGAATAAGTTTTTAATTCCGCCACCAGTGTGAGTTCTATATATATGAAAATTATTATAAGATCTTGTCTCATGTTCATGTATTTGATTGTTAAAAACCAAAAATTCATTAAAATATGTTGGTCGCGCAATACAGGACTACTTAGGTACTCAGACATAATTATTTGAGACAGAATTTAAAAAAAAAGACTGAAAAAAGATGAGGGGTAGAGATGTGTCAGTAGATAGTAGTTGAATATAAAGTATGTGAGTTTGAATATGTGAATACAACGTTTTATTGTATTGGATGATATAACACTTACAACAACTGGTTGGAATTCTCAACGATCCACGGAGTTATTTTTGATAAGAAGGAATTGAGAAACTTAATATCCCTAATTGATTTATCTACCATATTGTACAATTTTTAACCGAGATAATTAAAACTGTATCTCGTCAACTTATAGTTAAAAGATGGAACTTGTATATTTCTATTAGACACAGCTCTAGTTGTAACACCATCGTAAGATAATGCATCAGAATAAAGTTTAAAGAGTGAAGCTGAAGGAGAACGCTTTTCAATAGTCCTACAAAAATACAATTTTTTGAAAAAAAATTGAGAATCCATGGAGTTAGTGAAAAAGCGAGGATATTGACTAAAAAGGATATAACTATTTTTGCATTGAAACGCTTCGAAAAATACTTATTTACATATTATTAGCCTGTTTCAAAAGTTTTGTCCGTTTTTATGAGTTTACTTTAAACTGTAATATTTCAGTGAATACTTATTCAATTTAATCAATATGAGGGTCATTTGAATCAGTGCCCTTTTGCCAACGTAACACAAGTCAAATAATTCCGTCAGCATAAAAATTGTCTGCTCGGGATTCGATGACGTCGACGAAGGCCGTTTTTGCCAGGTCCTGATTGGCAAAGCTTCTACTGGTGAGAAAATTATCGAAGTGCTTGAAAAGATGGTTGGCGAGAGGTCTGGGTGAGGTAGAACTTCGACGCTCAATTCGTTTAATTTTCGAGCGGTGATTTTTGAAACGTCCAGACCACTAAGGGCTGCTGCTGATGCAATTTTTGGTACATTTCGATGGTACGATTTCCCCACAACAGGACTCTGCTGTGATGGTTTGGCCCGGTTGCAGAAAGTTATACTGAATCACACCAGCCGCTGACCACTATGCAGTAACCATGGTTCTTTTGGTGGGTTTTTCTGAACGTCTTCTGTTGTCCAAAAAAGGTCTCTTTTTGTTGCGCAAAACCAAAGAAGAACATACCTCGAAACGTGACACTTTTCAAGATTTGTAATACATTTTAAACCATCAAAAACCAAATGGTGGCTGGCACCCAGTTCCTCCGCCATCCCACACACCGTTTGTGATGGGTCAATCTTCACCAGGATCCTCAAATCCTCGTTCTGTAGGTCGACCACTTCGGGTCTTATCTTCGAGGATAAAAATCTCTAAGAAAGTTTTGCATACCATCGTCAAACAGTGCGGTTATTAACACTATCGTAGGGAAAAATTGACCAAAAGTCGGTTAAAGAATAAACAGCATCAGTATAGAGTACAAAATTCTCCATCGATCAGTATATACCACGACACAGACAGTATTATTAATATTTATTGAGATATGGAGGCACAAAACCACATGACATTAAAAAGAATATAACTTTTGAAACAACCCAATAGCACAGTAAATAAGTATACTGTGCCAATAGGTTTGTTCTGGTTCTACGAAATTCAGGTTCTAGGATATAAGGATCATGTGCAGTTGATATAGAGCGTTCTGGTTTTTCGAGGATTGATGAATCCTCTGTTCTGGTTTCGACTGCGAAATGATCCTAAATTGTTTTGAACCGTCCCGAATCGTTCTTCATGTGGAAATTTGTTTGAGCTATTTTCTAAGATGTTTTTTTCATTTATTTGATTCAAACTTACACAAGAGACTCCCTTCTCTTGTCTAAGGATTTAAATAATTGATGATTGAGGTTAGATAGCCTTTGAACTGACTACAAGAATACGCTACATAACGAATGTTTGGAATACAAACTCAGTAGAGAAAGGTGTTTTATGTATAATTCCGTGTTCATATAAAAGTATTTGTTTCGAAAGAATTTTTCAATGTTTACATTAAAGTAGCTGTTTCAGGAAGGCTTTTTTTCCAGTTTGTGTCTAAAAGTTACTTCTTTGCATGATCTACACGTCCGTGTATACAGTTACTACTTTTGAAATTGATTGCTTCCTTCCTTTATTTGGAAGATTCCTACTTTTTCTTTTGTATCAATATGGAGTAGTAGAAAGTCAAAAACGTCCTTTCCCAAAAATCAATCACTCCTAAAATTATAATTTTTACATATACGATAGGTGGCACAGTGGTCTCCTCAAAATGAGTTCTGGTTTACCTCAGTGTCCGAGACTATTTCGGACTGTTTGAGATCTTTTGCTTGTACGCATCATGTCTTGCGCAGTTTCCAAACAGTTTCGGATGTTAGATCTACAAAATGTGTACTGTTTGAACATTTCGGTGTCAGTAAATGTTGTACAAGTTGAGAGAGAGATATAGGTTTGTTCTCGTTCTAATGTCAGAAACTGTTTAGAAACTGCGCAAGACATTGATGCGTACAAGTAAAAAATCTCAAACAGTCCGAAATAGTCTCGGACATTTGGTTAAACCAGAACGCATTTTGAGGAGACCACTGTGCCACCTATCGCATATATGAAGAGATGAAGACGAGAAAATACTGTTGATCATGTCCATTTTGTTATGTCTGTAGCGTATCCTTGTAGTCCAAATGTTATATAACCCCAATCA